CGTGACTGCCTGCTGCGCTGGAGAAGCCCCAGCCACAACGGGACACGAGGGACAGCCCCACCTCTCTGCCACTTTGCTGATTTCTGATTCCGAATCGGCGAGGCTATAAATAAAGCCAGAAATAAATATTCCATCCGTGCATCCCTTGCTTTCTCAGCCCCTGCTGGAAATCTCTTCTGTGTGTTCAGCTGCAGCAGGGCTGGCCTCCCTTCCCAATCTGACAGCTCCACTCGAGACATGGCAGCCCTGGGGCTCCTGTGACCCCGACTGGCCTGTACAACCCACGTCATGGCAATGGCCAACCTGTCTCCTTCCTGTCCTGGAATCCACGTTTTGGTAGGAACAACGTAAAAGAAAACAACACAAGGGCCTGATCGCGAGCTTAGCCAGCACGCTGCTCTGTGCCGCGTTTCAGGGCTGCCGTCCTCGCCCTCCCCACGCAGACCCAATGCTGACATCCAGACGGGTGGACGTGTTGGGAGGTGTGATGTACAAAACAATACTAGGCAGTTGCTCCAGGAACCAAGAGTACCAATTCGACTCAGTAAAACGAAGAGAGAAATAACTAAGTGACCATTTATTGACCAATTGCAATTGATCAACTGATCAATTACCTACCTTGTCCCAAGCACCGCAGAGAGTAATCATGTGTAAGCTCATTCCTCCCTCCCGCCAGCCCTACGAGGTGGTCTCTCCACTCTAGAAGGGCCCCACCAGGCCCTGCAGTGAGGGCAGGCCAAGCCTGCCCTGCACAGAAGCCTCGCGGTTCTCAGGCCCGGCCTGGCCCCGGCTGCTCTCCCAGCAGGCGGCACAGGGTCTGTACCGTCAGGCGTCACGTTGAGCTGCAGCCTGGTCAGGCCTCAGGAACGCAGCCGAACCAAGTGAGGTCTAAGAGGACAGCCCCCAAATCAGGGCGGGAAGCGAAAGGGGAGACGTGGGACGCCCAGGGAATTACCGAGAGATCCACCACCTGCCGTGGGCTGAGCGAGGGAGTCCCGGGCTGGGAGCCTGGTGGGGGCGTCTCCCAGTGCACTCAGCAGGTTGCCGGGGCGCAGTCCTGTCCACGCTGACGCTTCAGTGAGCACCTGCTGAAAATGCTGTTCCCAGGCCTTTTGGGGTGTAGTTCCCTGTAGCTTGTTCATCGTGTGCCATGGGCTGCCTTGTTCATCATCCGGGTCTTTCGTTAGTTTCCTGGCGCTGCTGTAACAGATAGCACATGCCGAGGGGCTTAGCGCAGCAGAAATTTAGTCCCGTGGGGTTCTGGAGGGAAAAGGTCTGGAACTGAGGTGTCAGCAGGCCGCTCTCTCTCTGAAGGCGCTAGGGCAGGATCCGCCCGGATTCCTCCAGCCTCTGGGGGGCCCTGGGGTTCCGTGGTGTGCCTTGTCCTGTAGGATCACCCCAGTCTTGCCACCACCTGCATGTGGCATTGTCTGCTGTGCACCTGTTTCTATTTTCTCTTCTTGTAAGGACCCAAGTCCCTGGATTGAGGGCTTACCCTGGTCCACTATGACCTCATTCTAACTTCACTAGTTATGTCTGCTAAACTCAATTTCCAAATAAAGTCCCATTCTGAGGTTTCGGCTGGACATGAATGTTGCGGGGGACACTGCTGACTCCAGTGCAGGCTCCTGTCCACAGCCCTGCCTTCTCCCTGCCCCCCGGAAAGGCTGAATGATTATGCACATGCAGGCACACACAGACAGCTCATACACACCTGTACTGTCATGCAGAAATGAATCCTGGTACTATTACTTTGTCCAGCTCCATTACTACACAGAGAGACCAGCTTCTAAGCAGAGCTGGGAATCTCACACCTGGAGCAGGGAATGAAAATGGGGTCCCCTGAGGTCCCTGTTACTCACGTGGCTCTCCGCTAGTAGGGTAAACACCGTCTTCTTGCAGGGACTATCGATCGCCTTTGGCACCTGCAGTCCCACTCACGCTCCGCCTGAACAACCATCCCAATACATTCCACTCCCCCGCCTGGATCCAAACCAGCAGTGAGCCCAGCCCCTGCCAGCCCAGGTGACTTCAGGGCGCGGAGCACTCAGAGCTCCCGCCAACTGAAGGTGTGACTAGCATGCGAGCACGCGCAGCGCTACCCACCCGGCGTCGCTTGGCACCAGGCAGGGCCGCCTTCCCAGCCTCCCGCGCAGGCCTTCTCCACGTCTCCCCTTCCCTTCCCTCTACCCTCCGTGTCCCGTGGGGCGGCACGTCCTCTCCCCTAAGGCTGTCTGAGCGGCAGAGGCCCTGAGCAAACCTGCCCTGCGATTTGCCCACTGTGTTTGGGAGCCTGGAGACATCCCCTCCCTGTTCTGGGCTTTGGGCCCCCTCTGTGAGCGGAGGTAAGAAAAACCTCATGAAGTTGGTCTGAGGGTTCAAAGAGGCCGCACCCATCATAGCTGCACGGCGCCTGATGCAGTCTGTGACCCATACCCCCTAGCTCTTACTGCCACCACGTAGACGGGTTTGTGAGACAGCGTCAAGGCCTCTCCACAGAGTTTGGTGGTATCTCAGGCTCCTGTGAACAATGGCAGCTGGTACCACCTGCTGCAGTGGCACTTTTGAGACTAACGTCTGCCTCAAAGGCCAAGCACTGTGATAAGGCCAAACCTGAGATGGCAGAATTCCCAGGACAACTACAGGGACACAGGCCCAGCAGACCTGGGCTGCACAGGACTCCCATGTGGGATGGGGGAGCTGGGTCCTGAGCTGTGCCCACCCAGCTCATAACACCCCCAAATGGGTCAGCTTGGGGACCTCA